CGAGCAGGGAGCCCGATGCGGGACTCGATCCCGGGACTCCAGGATCATGACCTGAGCCGAAGGCAGTCGCTTAACCAACTGAGCCACCCAGGCGCCTGAAAATCTGAATGCTTTGAATGTGGTGCCAGGTGAGGGTTGGGCGGTGTGGCATTAGGAGACAGGTTTGGGTGTATGTGACTGATCCAAAATGGCAGTGACTTCTGCAAAGTAGACACTTTGTTGTCCTTTTGAAACAGTTCAGAGATGGCGCCCTTGACTGGGATGACAGCTCTGCTTTCCCGGTCCAGGAACCCAGGTTCTTTCCATTTTGTTGCTTCTGTTCTCCGTGGAGTGTCACTCTCACCCCTGTGACCCATCATGGCTCTTCATCACATTCATCTTCCAAGGCATAACCAGGGAGAGTGGGAGAAGGGGACACCCCCTCTCTGTAAGGACATATTTTGAAATTTGCATACATCAGTCCCCGTCATGATCCGTTGGCCAGAACTTAGTCACATGACCACACCTAGCTGCAAAGGACTCTGGGAAATGTCACTATCCTGGTTGTCCGTATGCCTCATGAAAAATCAGGGGCTCTGTCATTATCGGAGAAAGGGAGAAGATACTGAGGGACAGCCACCACAGCCAGAAAGGGAAGTAAAGTGTCCCAAGTTTTCCCTTCCGAGCATGGGAGGATTCCGGAGCAGTCTGCACACCATAAGCCGTCAGCATCGGCAGCAAGCATGTGCCTAGCACTTACTGAGTGAAGGGCTGCCAGGACCAAATCACCGAGGCAAAAATTTTTCCCTAACCTCACCCCCAATCTGACCCAGGCTGAGAGTATCGTCACCAGCATCCCCACCCCCATCCACCCCGCCTAATGATTCCAGCAGCTGCAGCCAATGTGCAGAAAGGAAGAACATCCTCCTTTTTCATTTTGGAAGGAGCTCGTCCCCCAGCTTTTGTTCAGGATAAATTACACCCCGGGCTGTTGCGGCTCCATCAGTAACCCCCCTTGGTTTGGGAAATGGTATCCTTCCTCTCCCAACTCTTCTCCTCCTGTCCTCTCCAGGCCTTCACCCATTCCAGTCAGATGTGACAAGCATCACAGGGGGGCTTCCCCTTGAGAGATGAGTTCCGGGAATGTTGCCTCTTTGACAGCGGGTCTGTGTGACAATGGGAGAGGCACGAGGCCTCACAGATGTCCCCACATCCTGCGTGTTGAGAGGTGCCTTTTGGAAGAGCAAGATGGCCCACCTCCCTCTCTCACTGCAGCTCCTGTCTCTGGGAGCTAACAGTGTGCTGGGGGGAGGGAGATAGATGTAGGGAAGGGTTCCCCTGTCCTGGAGGACCAGGGGATTCCTAGGCGGCCATGGGCTTTCACTCAGTCAGGGGAAGTTGGCCTGAGTCTCAGCTCCCAAATGGCAGATTCACAGTATCTGGGCACTGGGCACAGAGCTCCAGCTGCTAAACAGATGCATCAAGCACAAGCCAGTACACCCCCTGGTCCGGGCTGAATCTGTGCCCAGCGGGCCTGTAAGATAGGCACCTTTGCCCAAGGCATCTCAGAACGGGGACCACCTGTGGGGACAGTCCTCAGGAGGCCCTGGGCACTGGTAGGTAAAAGCTGCCCAGCTGTGAGCTGCGCAGACTGGGGAACTGGGATGGGGTGGCCAGGGCCGTGTCTAAAGATCATCTTCATTATAAAATTACAGTCAAGGGAGGGGCACTTGTGTGGCTCAGTCAGACATTAAAGTGTCCGACCTTTGATTTCGGCTCAGGTCCTGATCCTCAGGGTTGTGAGATCGAGCCCCGTGTCAGCTCAGCCTGGGCATGGAACCTGCTTGAGATTCTCTCTCTCCCTCTCCCTCTGCCCTTCCCCCACCCCTTCTCTCTCTCTCCCCCTCCAAAAGAAAAAAAAAAAAGAATACAGTCACGGGAGAAGCTTTGCCTTGCCCGTGGTCCTGCATATACTCCTTTTGTGCTTTTGTTCCCTCATCTCTCATCCCTTTCTTTATCTTTCCGCACGCTCCCCTCTGTCCCAACTCCCCACCCTTCTCCCTCCTGCCTTCTGTGCCTTCTTCCCACGTCCCCTCTTCCCTTGCTCTGGCTTTTTCTTCTTCCCTCCTCTGCTGGCACTCCCTGCTCCCAGCTGCCGAGTCACTGAGGAGAGCACTCGGGGACCGGAAGTCGCGAGCGCAGGCCCTGCAGCCTTGACTCCCTTGTGGCCTGGGGAAAATCGGGCCCCTCTCTGGGTCCCTAGGTGGGGGGGGTCTCAGACCACCTGCAGAATGCCTTTAGACCTTCTGATTCTCTGTTATTCTCTTGGTTCCCTGGCCGCCTCTCTCACTCCTTCCTTGTCCGCCTCTCTTCCTTCTCCTTTATTCTGGGTGTCCGTATGTCCTGAAGGTCTGCTCCATGGGGAGAACGCTTGTGTCCTTTAGGGGGCAGTTCTGGTGATCCCCTCTGGGGTTCAAGGCTAGCTAAGGGCCTAACCTTAACTTCTTTCCTGAGCTTCTCCCTGAGGTGTCTCTGCTTTTAGCCTGGGTGCCCCTCCTTTCTGAGGTCTCATGGAGGGTCTCTAGGAAGCACCTCTCACGTGGGGAGGCCCCTGAAAGATGGTAGACCGGACCCTGGGCCCTCCCTCATCCTGCCCCTCAGCTCAGGAGGAGCCCCCGGAGCAAGGTCCTCCCTGCCAAGAGGGTGTGCAAATAGCCCATGAAGAGTGAGTTCATCCCCCAACCTGGGGGTGGGGTGGGGCCTGGCTCTGGCAGAAAGACTGGAACCGGCTCTGGGTGCAGGGTTAGATCAGGATGCCTCAGAAAAAAATAATAAAAGGGACTGTTGCAAAGCTCCAGGGAACAGATGTTTTCCATTTGGAGCTTGCCGAGAGAAGCGCAGAGGGGGGCGGGTGGAGAGAGATGGACGGAAGAGGGAGAAAAGCTGAGACACAGAGGCAGGAGGGGAGGTCACGGGTAGGCAGACAGAAGATGAGAGAAGTGGGGAAATCGGGATGGAGGGAGAGAGAAGGCGCTGAGGGGATGGGAGAGAGGCCCTCGACACTGGGGACAGCAAGGTCTGTTTGCCGGGGTGGTGGCCCGGGCTGTGAGAATTCAAGCAAAGTCCGGTAACAGGGAGCAGGCCTCCAGCCCTGGCCGGAGAGGAGGCCGGGATGGGTGGGTACCTGGGGGCCCCAGCAGTCAAGACTGGGAGGTCTAGAGATCGGGGTAGTGGACAGGCACGGTGCCACATGCGGGGCTCCTGCTGTAGCCGAGGCTTGCTGTCTGGGGAGCACCATGTTTGGTAAAATAATTGCCCAGGGACGGTGAGGCTAGGAAGAAGGGGTGCACTGCAGCCCCCAGACCTGTGGGCCCAGCTGCAGGTCAGGGGCCCCGCCCTGGAGGCCGAGCATCCGCGGGACTGTGCGAGGCGGCCAGGAGCCCTCAGGAGACCTCACTTCTCTGGCTCTGTTCTGTGTCATCTGGTTTCCTGCCTAACTGGTAATGAAGTCCATCAGACCAGAGCAGCCCTACCTATTTTTCCGGGCATGTTCTCTGGTGTGTGGCCAGCCCAACAAGGCCCAGGGCCCCGAGGAAAGAGGGAGGTGGGGATCCCTGTAATTGAAATCTGTTGATATGAAGGCACTGTGAGGAGTCCCCAAGGGAGAGGCCAGAAACAGCCTCCAGAGACAGAGACGCAGAAGACAGGCCGGCAAGTTGTAAACAGCTTAATGAGCCACACGGTAGGAGCAGGCCGGCAGGTGGGCCGGAGCTGGGGCAGGCCTGCTGGGCAAGGGCCAGGGGAGTGGAGGGCCTAGCCTCTGAGCTGAGCTCCTGGTGGTAGAGGAAGCGTCCTCCCTGCCCCAACACTCACACCACACACTTCCTTCTGCTTCTCCCCTCGCCTCCGGTGACCCTGGGGAGTTCGGTCACGGTGGAGCCCAGCCCTTTGGGTTGGCATAGCCTCCCTTCTCTCTGTCAGTCCAGCTGCCCCTGCACCTTCAGGCCCCAGCTCAAATGTTGCCTCCTCCAGGAAGACTTCCCTGACCACACCAGCACAGCTGACCTGACCCCTTCGGAATTGGCACGTGTCACTCCATTGCCTTGGCTCACTCCAGCAGTTTGGTTGCTCAGCTGTCCCACCTCTCCCCACCTCCACTCTTTCTCCTGGGAGGACCAGGCACATGGTCAGTACCTAATAGTTGCACACTGGACCCTCAGTTATGAAGGCAGCCTGCTCAGAGCCCCAAGCAGCAGCTCCAGAAGGAAACAACAGCAGAGCAGAGGAGAGCCTAGGCCGAGCTACACAAACCCCTGAGCTCGGGCCAGCCCTCCCTGCAAGGCCCTGGCTCAAAGCCCACCCTTCCTGGCCTCACCTTCCCGTGCTTTCTGCCTTGGGACTGTGCCGCTCAGCCTGTTTATGGGGACAAGAGCCTGCATTTCTCTCTGGCCTGATCATGGGGGCCTGGCTCCTCTGTGTTTACTTAATTCTTCCAAATTCTCTTCTCCACCAGAGAAAAAGAGTTCCCTTGCTCAAAGGCCTCTGTAGTATTATAGGATGGGGCACGCTACTTGATTACACAATGAACCTTAGGCAACATTCATGCTGACTGCCCCAAGTGCCGTGTGCTGTAGTCAAGGCCTTAGGCTTCCTTCCTGCTGCTTGTCGGAACAGGAAGACGTGGTGCCTGGGTCTGGCTTTCCACTTCTTTCTGGGAGCTTCTTTTGGGATGTCTGTTACCCACCCGCCCTAGACCTCACCTGAATTAGTGTGACCTCAGCCCTTGGCCAGTGCTAGGAACAGCTCTTGGCAGAGTCACAAGCCAGGCTCTGCGTGCCCTTCTGTGCTCCCATCTGTGCACGGGCACCAGCCCCCGGAGGGGCAGCCGAGCCCAGGGCTGCCACCAGAGGAAGGCTGAGTGGGCCATGAGGCCGAGCTGCCAGCCCAGCCAGCCTGTTTCTAAAAAGTGCGTGCTGTGGGCGTGTACCTGTGCAGCGCGGATCTGAGATGTGCCCTTACGTGGGCTGGCCTGGGATCGAAGATGGCCGCATTGATCTGGGGGAAGAAGGCAAACTGGTTGTGGGACAGAGCTTGTTGGTGAGAGGCATGGGCATCCCTCATTCTCTCGGTGCAGCAGAAAGCCCTGGGCTTCGGAGGGAGGCTGGAGCTGCGCTGGGAGTCCAGCGCTGCCTTGCCTATTTCTATGGAGGGACTGGAGTGAGGATCCCCGCCCCCACCCCACCCCCCCCCCAGTTTGGTTTGTTAGTGCAGAGCCCTGAGAGCACCTGCTGGGAGGAGTAAATGAGAGAAGACACTTGGCAGAAGCAGGCCTTGGCCCACTGTCCATCTCCAGGAGTGTGGGCTGTTTGGGAGCGCACGCCTGCCTCATCCTGATCAGCCTCCATCCCCCACTCCCAGCCTCACGGCCATCAGGTGGGGGGACACTGCAGAAAGCCACCTGACCTTTATGGATACCACCCGTGCCCCCGCTGCCGGGCTTGGAAGTCAGCCTGATGCCAACCCCGGGCCCACAGCTGACTCTCCCTGTGGCCTTAGGCAACTTCCCTATTGTCTCTGTGCCCACTGACCCCCTCCCTGAAGCAGGGTAATAAAAGTGCTTGGTGTGCTGGCTTTCGGGAATGTCAGCGGACACGGCTGTGCAGAGCGGGTAGCACGGTGCCTGACGCCGAGCGGGCACTTGGAAACCATGACCCGCTGTTGCCCCCACAGCCCGGAGCCAGCGGGGCCCATGCCGTGACTCCAGGGATGGTTCCCATCACCCGAGACCCTCCAGCTCTGGGGTCTGATGGTCGGATGCGGGGAGGGGGCCTCTGCCTCTGACTTTTCCTACCACTCTCACCTCCCACTGTCCTTCTGGTTTCGCAGCTGAGCTGTTCATGGAGCAGCGACACCTCAAGGAAGCGGGTTTCTGCATCCAGGAGGCTGCGGGCCTCTTCCCCACCTCGCACTCGGTACTCTACATGCGGGGCCGGCTAGCCGAGATGAAGGGCAGTTTGGAGGAGGCCAAGCAGCTGTACAAGGAGGCGCTCACGGTGAACCCCGACGGCGTGCGCATCATGCATAGCCTGGTGAGTCAGCCCCTGGCCCCCGAAAAAGGCCTCGGGGCCCTCCTCCTCTCCCACCCCCTCCACTGCGTGTGCCCTGGTGTCTGGCGGGGAGGTGGCCTCCTCCCTGCTCTGCTGGGAGAGACAACTGGCTTGTCGAGGCAGGCCATTCCCCTTCAATCAGAGCCTGCCTGAGTTGATGAAAAAATCTAGGATGGGTTGATATTCTTTGTGACTTCCCTTTTGCTCTAAGCGTCTGTAAAGCAGTGGAACCCCAAAGGGATTCCTCATCAGATCCTTGCCCTGGACACTCTAGGCAAAATGCTCTGCTTTCTGGGAGTCCCCGGGCCCTCCATGCTCACTGGGCTACCTCTCCCACTTCGGAGGAGCTCCGTGCCTCTTTGGTGGCATTCAGGGGATGTCATGGGCTGGGCTGTCATGTCAGCCCTGACTTGAGCACACATGGAAAATGGCCCCTGGTGGGGGTGGGTAAGAGGACCCAGCAGCGCCAGTCCTGGGACGTGGCACTCAGGACTTGGGTGCCCAGAGCTCGGTGACTTTCTGTGGAAGGTCTGGAGGCTGGGAGCGGGATGCTGGTGTTCTTGGCTTGGCCTTGCCATTCTCTTTCTCGGTGATCGTGAGCAAGTCGGCCCCCTTCTCTGAACCTCGGTTTGACTTATCTGTGCAATGGGGATTCTCTGGTGCAGGAACCATTTACTGAATACCTGCTCTGACAGCTGGTATAGTAGACCGGCGAGATAACCGTTTTTCCCTTACTTCCTTAGCTACTTTTATTTATTTATTTCTTCCTTCACTGCTTTCAGAGAGCAGCTCATCAGGATAAACGTAATGCTCGGAAAGTGTACAGGCCTGCGTCGACACAGTGATTTTTGAAGTATAATTTAGGAGCACCCCATTAGCGACACGGTCTTCCCCTGTCAGGGTGCAGGTCCCACCTCAGACGCCCCCGCCCCCTGCCATGAGCGCTCCCTGAGGGGAGCACCCATGAGGACGTCACCGACATTGGCCACATGCAGAGCACTGAGGGGGCAGAATGATTCCAGATGGCTGCAGGGTTATCATTGCCAAAAGGGGTCTGATTCCTTCTCGAGGAGAAGCCATAGGGAGTTCGATTTCCGCTCAGTGTCAGGAACAGTACAGCTCTCAGAATAGGACAAGTACAGACTCAGGAGTTGTCTGGTGAGGACGTCGCCAAGAGAATGGAAATCCCACTTGGGGGAGGAGCTGGGCCAGGTCATCTTTATAAGGTCATTCCCAACCCCAAGAACCCCTGAAAACAGATTAGAGACTCCCCGCTCAGCTACTATTCCTGCTGCCTGATTTCTTAAAGGATTTCTACCTCGGGCCCATGTGAATGTTCCGCGTCAGCTGAAGACAGCCCACGCGGTGACGTCACACCCTGGCCCGCGTTCCCCTCCACATGGCTGTGTGTTGCCTTGCAGTCTGCTCAGCAAATGTTTGTTTTTTTGCAAGCACATCCTCCTTCCTCCCGTAATTCAGACATTAGCTCCTGTGATAAATGCCTCCCTGGAGGTCACATCCAGAAACCTGATGAGGGTGGTGGGAGGGAGGATGTGGGCTGTGTCGTTAGGCCTGCGGCCAGGCAGTGATGTCTGCCTTCCCCTGCGCTCGCGGATCGGAGCCCGCCGTCTCAGTCCCTAAAACCCAATGAAGTCCAGTAACAGGTACGATTTCGAGGTAACAGTGTACCATTTTTCATTTATGCTCATTATTGTTTGTAGCTATTTTCCTGAAGCCGGTTCCAAAGGCGGGTTTTTCCATGGTAACCGAATAGCAGCCCAGAGTGGCTCCCTCCAGATGTTTCTGAAATGGCCCCTTTTCTCTTCCCGGGGTGCCCGGCTGAGGTGATGAAACAAAAGCAAGTCAGAGCCAGGCCTGCCCACTGTTAAAGTTACAGGCAAGCAGAGGGGCAGTCGGCTGTGGCGTGGGCAGCCCGTTCGCTTTCCACAGGCTCTGTTCTGCCAACAGCCTACACATACGCATGAAGAACGGCAGATTTCAAGCCTGGAGAAGATTCACGAAGCACTCTTTCCCCAAAGACACAGGAACACTTTGGCATGTTGATCTCCAGCATTCCCTGATGTAAGTGTCTTCCCTGGACCGGCTTCAGCCTCAGGACACCTGGGATCTCATCCTGGCTCTGGCTCTCATTCACTCGGGTGATTTAGGAGAAGACACACGTAACTTCCACGTTCCTGATGTCTCCTTCAGCAGATGAATAATAATCTTCTTCGTTCCTAGACCAGGGCTAATCACAGGAGGTGACGCATGTGACAGTGCTTCCAGAGGTCTGCCGTGTAATGTCAGAGAAGGCAAAACAGCATGTACGCCCTTGCTCTCCAGTCCCTCACCCGGGACAGACATTGCTAATCAATCACAGCACTTTTTTCTCACTGAGCACAGGTGTGACCTTGGGATCTTTTTCCCCATGGCACAACATGAGGGGAGCCACCGTCTGGCGGTGGAAGTCAACTTGGCCTTTATGTAAGGGTTTCATTGTAAAAATAGTAGAGAATGGGAGAGACACATCCGTTGTCTCAGCCTTTATGAACTCTGGAGGTTGGCGCATCCTTGGAGAATTATCCGGAGAAAGGAACATGGAGGGGAACTGGTATCTGCCTCCCCCACCCAGTGCAGTCGTTGCCAAGGCAGGTTCCCAAGGAGGACATCCTGGCCTTGCCACACCACCGTGGTTCCATGAGGACGTCAGCCTCTGATCGGTGCAAGGAGAGGAGAGGCGCCCCTCCCCTGAGGGCACAGCCACCCACAGCCTGGGCTGGGAGAGCTCTGGATCCCTCGGTGAGCCGTGTGGGTGCCGGCTTCAGCCTTACAGTCCTGACAGCAGGATCATCAAACACCGGGAGGCCGGCCTCACAGCCTCTCCCTGGGGCCGTGCACATGGGACAGGAGATGTGGGGACAGGCCAGAGAAAGCCTCGGGGAGTGTTGGCTACTGCTCTTAGGAGGCAGGGTTCAGGCGTTTCTAAGAAAATGAACTTTGGCCCAGAAGCGGGTTCTCTGCTCTCCCCGTCCTGCTGCCCCCCTGCCCTGGCGGGGATGGGAGGCATTTCCATGGTTCACGCCCCATCCTGGGCTCAGCTCAGGCTTTCCCACCCAGCAGGCGGGACGAAGACAGCGGCTTAGCCGTGCCCCACCAGTGCCCTGGCCCTGCGGGCTGCCTCCTCCGCGGGGCTCACAGATGGCCAGCTCGCTTCAGGAGGCTGCCAGAGGCAGAAAGAAAAAGCCATGCTCTCTGCAGATGGAAATTCCCAGCAAAATCTCAGGAGCAAGTCCCGCAGGAGCAGGTCCCGACAGTCTTTGCCAGCTCTATCTTGGCCTCCCTTCCAGGTAGCCAAAAAGCCTACTCACTCAGCCTGGGTGTTCAGCCCTGAATTTACGGGCAAAAGCATCTCGTTAAGAAGGGGAAACCTGAACTTCCCTTGCCTGACCTGAGGAAGCAGGAGAAAGGAAGCAGATCTTCCCAAGATCAGCAGAGGAGTTGGCCCCCAGGTGACACTGTTCCTCAGAGAAGGCTCCGTGGGCTTGGTGGAGAGGAATCTGAGGCAGTCTGCACCCTTTCTCCCTCTGAGCCTGTCTCTGCCCTGCCACCTCCCAGGAGGCTCTCTGCATCTCCAAGGGAACAGGGATGCCTGGGCAAGGCAAGGAAGCCAGGAGCGACTAATGGAATGGTCAAGTTACCGAGAGCCCTCCCAAGAAGGCTGTGAGGTCACCTCACTTTAATGGTGGGAGGGTCACTAGCCCTGGCCACAGACCGGCCATTCTCCCTGCCGCCCCTTGGCAGAGCCAGGAGTGCGGATGCATTGATGCAGCCTGTGTCCCTGCAGGACACCGCCCGAGGGCCTCGGCTGCGAGTGGACAGGCACGCTGCCTCCCTGCCCCCTGCGTTTGTGGGCGGCACCCCACCCCGCTCTCCCAGCCACAGGCTCTGGGGTTTCCTGGCACCTCTCTGGCCAGGCCTCCCGGCTCCTCGCTGGCCCCTGCCCGTGGTCATGCTTTCTTCTCGGGACAGAGTTCCAGGCTTTTGTTGCCCCGTCTCCCCAGAACCCTTTGCTCCCCGGGCCCCCAGCCGCAGAGGGAAACTGCCCTAAATGAACTTTGGCTCCTGTGATGTAATTCCTGAAGCAGTCCTGGCCTCATGACCCAGCCTCTTCTTTGTCCAGATGCTCCTGGAAAGATAGGAAGACAGCGCTTCTGTCACCTCCTGCCCTGATGAGAGTGTGGCAGTGAATTAGTCCCCTGCACTCACTCCCTCTCACTCCCAGTGTGGAGCTTGCTGTCCCGTTTTTCAAGTGGGTTTGGGGGATCAAGGGCATGGCCATAGCGTGTGGCCGGCCCCATTTGGCCCCAGGTTCTGGCCCCAGAACCTCTGGTCCCTCTTTCCTCAGGCTGGGGCTTGCCACAGCATCCCCCCATGTCCCAGAAGCAGCCCACCACCATCCCTGCCTCTCCCTAAGGTGGGGCCTGAGTCAGCCAGGACCAGGGCTCTGCTCTCTAAGGCCGAACAGGTGAAGTCTGGTTGCACAGAGCTCCCGCCAGCCCCGTCCCCAATCCTGGAGGGCAGGACTGGACTGGAGAGATGACACACCTGAGACAGCCAGCCAGCCCAACCAGCCCTCGTGTTCCGGGGGCTCTGGGAGACTGCTTCCCCTCACTGGCTCCGTTTTCGCTTCTGTCTAACGGGGATAATAATTTAGGCCCTTGTGACCTCCAGGGGAGGATTTTAGTGCTCAGATGACCTAAGCACTGTGAAAAGATAAATCAACATCCGGCGTTTTTGTCACCATTCATGCGGAAGACTTGGTGGCAGATGGCCGAAGCCTGAGCTCTGCCTTTGACCAGGATGCCCCACCTCGCTGCCGTGGGGCAGGGGTCATTGGTCCACATTTCCTTGGGCTGCCGGCAGGGTACTGAGAAGGGAGGAAGGGGGTGCTGGGCAGGGACCAGGGGCCTCAGAGCTGCCTG